TTCCTTATTTATGGGTTTGGTATTCCTTTGTCCTAACATGGTATTATTGCATTTATTGAAAAAAAAGTTTCGGTAACCACTGAAATGATCATGCAGTTTTTCTAATTCTACTTGTTGTGCTAGAGAGATGTTTTAATATTAAGCTACGCTTGTAATTCCTGGGAGAAATCCAGTTTGGTTATGATGCATTCTTTCACGTTTGTTGCAGTTTTTGGTTGATATTTGTGATGTCTCTGATACCTTTGGTTGATATTTTTACATCTGTATTTATGTGTGGAATTGGTCTATAATTTTCATTTCTTACACTATCTTTGTTTGATTTTGGTGTCAGTTTTATCAGCTTCAAAAAAGGAGCTAAGAGGTTTTCCCTCTTTTTGAATTCCTTGCAAGAATTTGAATAAATCTAATTCTTTGGATATTTGATAGAATTCCCCTTAAGGGAAATTGATTCTCTCTCTCCCTATCTCTCTTTCTCTCTCAATCTGTGGTGTGTGTGTGTTGAAATAGATTTTGGTTTAATTTATTTAATGGCTATAGGACTATTCATGTTTTTGTTTTTTCTTATAAAAATAAAGTCCTTATTGAGTATATTACTCATATACTATAAAATTCACCCTTTTAAAGTGTATAATTTGGTGGGAGTTAGTTTATTCACAGAGTTATATAGCCATCACCACTCTCTAATTTCCAAACAGTTTCATTATTCAAAAGAAAACCCTGTACTGTGTATCCATTCATTCTCTCCTTATCCTCAGGCCTTGTCAACTATTATTCTACCTTCTGTTTCCATGGTTTTGCTTATCTTGTACATTTCATAAAATGGAATCATAATAATACGTGGCCTTTCACTAAGTAATGTGTTCAAGGGCTGTTATGTCATATCATACAATAGTACTTCATTCCTTTGTATTACCAAATAATATTTCATCATTTATTCATTTTGTTTACCCTTTCATCTGATGATGGGTATTTGGGTTGTTTTCATTTTTTGGCCATTACGAATTAAGTTTCTATGTACATTCCTATACAGGTTTTTGTGTGGACATATGTTTTCAGCTCTCTTGGATGTGTACTTAGGAGTGTAATTGCTGAGTCATATGGTAACTCCATGTTAAATATTTTGAGGAACTACTGAATTGTTTTTCCAAACTTGATGCGGGTGCATTTTACAGCCCCATTGGCAGTGTAGGAGAGTTCCAGTTTTTCCATATTCTTATCAACAGTTGTGATTGTCGTTTTTATTTTAGCCATCCTAGAAGCTATGAAGTGATATTTCACTGTGGTTTCGATTTTCGTTTCCCTAGTGACTAAAGATATTGAGCATCTCTGTGTGTTCATTGGCCATTTGTTATCATCTTTTGATGAAATATCTGTTAAATCCTTTTTCCATTTTTAAGGTCAGTTATTTTTTTTATACAACTCTTTTTATTATTGAGTTGTAAGGTTTCTTTATGTATTCTCTATGTAGGTCCCTTATCAGATATATGATTTGTAAGTATTTTCTTCCATTTTGTGAATTATCTTTTCATTTTCTTGATGAAAAAAATTGCTTTGAAGCACAAATTTTAAGTTTTGATAAAATCTATTTTGTTTATTTTTTCTTTTGTCACCTGTGCTTATAATGTCATATCTGTGAAATCATTGCCTAGTCTATGGTCACAACTATTTGCTCCTGTGTTCTCTTCTAAGTGTTTTATAGTTTTAGCTCTTACATTTAGACTTTTGATCCATTTTCAGTTAATGTTTATATATGGTGCGAGGTATAGGTTCAACTTCATTCTTCTGCATATGGATATCTATTTGTCCCAGTACCATTTGTTGAAAATAAAATTGTTTCCTCCACTGAGTTGTCTTGGTACTCTTGCCAAAACAAATTGCTCATAATAAACATAAGGGTTTATTTCTGGACCCTTAATTCTTAATAGGCCCTTAATCTCTATTCCATGTCTATCAGCCTTCTGACAGTACTATCTTGATTGCTATGACTTGATAGTAAATTTTGAAAATTGCAAGTGTGAATTCTCTGACTTTGCTCTTGTTTTACAAAATTCTTTTGGCCATATTAGGTCCCTTGCATTTCCATATGAAATTTAGGATCAGCTTGCTCATTTCTGGGGGAAAATGTTACCAGCTGAGATTTAGTAGAAACTGCTTTGAATCTGTAGGTAAATTTGGGGAGTGCTGCCATCATAATAATACTAAATCTTCTGATTCATGAGCATGAGATTTCTTTTCATGCATTTAGATCGTATTCTTTAATTTCAACAATTTTTATAGTTTACAGTGTACAAGTCTTGCACATTTTTTGTTAAATGCAATCCTAAGAATTTTATTCTTTTTAATAATATTGTCAGTGAAATTGTTTTCATTTTTGGATTGTTCATTGCTAGATTTACAGAAATACAATTGACTTTTATAAGTTGATCTTCTATCTTGTAACCTTACTGAACTTGTTTATTAGTTCTAATAACTTTTTGTGGATTCATTAGGATTTTATATGAATGAGATGATGATTGGAGCTGTGAACTGTTTTAATTTAAAAAAAATTTTTTTAATGTTTATTTTTGAGAGAGAGAGAGAGAGAGAGAGAGAGAGACAGAGCACAAGTGGGGGAGGGGCAGAGAGGGGGAGACACAGAATCTGAAGCAGGCTCCAAGCTCCGAGTTGTCAGCACAGAGCCTGACGCGGGGCTCAAACCCACAAGCTCACGTGAGCCAAAGTCTGACGCTTAACTGACTGAGCCACATCGATTATTTTTAAATACTAGGATTTTCTCTCCTACCTTTTAGTGGTGATTTCTAACTTAGTTGCATTGTGAACAGGGAATGTGGTCTACACAATAGATTATTATCATTTGTCGCTTGCTTCATGGCCCTCTGTACGTGGCTGTTTTCATAAATATTCCATATATACTGGAAGAGACATTGTTTTCCAGGGGTTCTGTGTCTAGTTCTAGTATCTTGATTGTATTTAAGCTAGTTCATACAGTGTTTAAATTGTATCCTTACTTTCTCTCACACTTTATCAATTACTTAGAACCTTACGTTACAAATCTCCCATTCTGATAGTGGATTCAGTTTCTCCTTGTATGTGTTAATTTGTGTTTTCTATGTATCTGAGACTTGTGTTTGTAGATGCATAGAAGTCTAAAACTGCTCGCTCTTTATCATAAATTGAACATTTTTAGTGTTTTGTGTCCCTCTTTAGATTTAAAGCTTTTTGCTCTAAAGAGTATTATGCCCGATATTCAACTAATTACACCTTTTGGTTATTATTTTCTTCTTATACCTCAGGTGCGTAGAATTGGACTAAAACTACTTTTAGCTCTTACAAACTCTCATGACTGGTCCATGCATGTGCCACTTTTATTCATTTAGTTAGTTATTATAAATAATGTGAAAGCATCCATGAAACCACGTCCTAAAACAAAAGATAGGATGTAGACAGTAGTCCTCATCAAACATTTGGCTCCCCTGCCTCCCCTTACCTGAAGATAACTATTATCGTGAATCTATAATGTATATTGTTCATTCCTTCTTTTTAATACATCATTTTATTGCATCCATGTGTATATTAAAACACATTTAATTTTGATTGTTTTTATGGAAAGGGGATTGTGTTGTATATAATTTTAAGAGCTTTTTTTTCCACTTAATATAAATTTGTTAAGATTCCTTCATATTGGGGCACCTGATGGCTCAGATAGTTAAGTGTTTGTCTCTTGATTTTGGCTCAGGTCATGATCTCATGGTTTGCAAGATCAAGCCCTGCGTTGGGCTCTGGGTTGATAGCACAGAACCTGCTTGGGATTCTCTGTCTCCTTCTCTCTCTGCTCCTCACTGCGCGTGCATGCACACACTCTTTCTCTCTCTCTTTCCAAATAAATAAATAAACATTAAAAAAAAAGATTCCTTCATAATTTTGCACATCACTGTGTTTCTTTCATTTTGACTATTTGTGTAATATTCATCCACTCTTTGATGGGCATTTAGTTTGTTTCCTGGTGTTTGCTATTTGAAAGTACTGCTCTTTTTATTATACATCTCTTTCTGCACGTAGGCAAGAGACCTGGGTTACTGGGTCCTAGCGTATGTGAAAGTTCAGTATTAAAAGAGAATTCCAAAGTGTTTTCCTGAGGGTTTCACCAATTTACACTTCATCAGATCCTGTGGATTGACTTCCTCCCCAGCATTTGGTATTGTCAGATTTTTTACCTTTTATCAACAAAATGAGCTTAAAGCAATATCTCTTTGTGGTCTTTGCTAGTATTTCTCTAATTTGCTGAACATTGAACATCTTTTCTTATGTTTATTGACTATATGTATTTTCTCATTTGGGAAAGCCTATTTATATCTCTCAAGCATATTTCTGTTGAGTTCACTGAGTTTTTATTATTGAATTTTAGGAAAGTATTTATGTGTTCTTGATATCCGTGTTCTCCAGTTGTGTTGCAAAACTATCCATTCCTGGTTTTTATTTTGCATTTTTATATTTTTTAAAGTGTCTTTTGATTAGCAACAGTTTTTCATTTTAATAGAGTCAAACTGATTAATCATGTGTAATTAATAATCATTTATAATTAATGCTTTCATATTCTGGTGAAGAAAATTTTTTTGCTCCAAAGACTAAAGGGTATTCACCTATACTCTCTACTTAGAGTTTAAAAAATTATTTTTAACATTTAATTCCTTATATCATCCAGATTTGTTTTTATATTATATGATAGAAATTCAATTTCATTGTTTTTTTATAGGAGTAGCCATTGGCCCCCCCCCCCCCCCCCGGTCAATCCCTTAATTTCCCACTGATCTCACCTGCCAACTCTGTCATGTACCACATTTCCATATATGTATGGATCCACTTCTGGCCTTTGTTTTATTCCATCAGTCACTCATCTGTTCCTGTACTAATAGCATATTGTCTTGCATTTTAAAAGGATCACTCTGGCTATTATAACTTTCAAGAGAGTTGATCAGTATTTATTATTTCTGCAATTTTAGGTATATTACAGCTAATACTGACACAGAAGAACAGAGTTTTCCTGTCCCTAAGGCATTTAACACACACATAGAGGAATTAAATTTAGATGTCCTTCTTCAGAAGGTTGATAATTTACGTATGAATGAATCTAGCAAGATGGAGAGTTTTGAACTACTTTGTGACCACAAAGAAAAGGTAAGAGATGTGAGATAATAGCATCTGTATGATTTTAATTTTTATTTAATCTGCTATCCCATTTATGTTATGACCGTAACAATTGGGTTAGTTTACCCAAGCCAAATTGGTTGATGCAAAATTTTTCTATAATCTAAACTAAACTTTAAAAAAGTAAATCTAAGAGTTTATTATGCTCTAAGATCATGAATATGAGAACCAGAGATATGATTATACAGTTTTATTTTTATTTGATATTTATTAGTTTGTTGTATTTAATACATACTCTGTAAGATAAAGAATAAGACATACTCCTCTTGGGGCAGGAAAAACACATTTTAAGTTTTCTGTCTTGTAGTTATTAATGTAATAGCTATCAGTACAGTATTTCAGTCCATTTCTACTAATGGTCGTTTTTCAATGTTTAACATTGGGCTGAATTGGGAAAGCCCATCCTTCCCACTACAACCACCAAAAAAAAGAAAAAGAAAAAGAGAAAAAGAAAGAAGGAGAAAGAGAAAGAGAGGAAGGAAGGAAGGAAGGAAGGAAGGAAGGAAGGAAGGAAGGAAGGAAAAAAGAAAGGACAGATGTAAGAAGAGGTTCTCAATAGCCCAGTGAGCAATGAATCTTTCTTTCCCGTGAGCAATTTAAATCCTTTGTCTGAGGCTTCAGCAACTCTAAACAGATTGTTTAAAAGTTTTTAAATCTCCAGCATTATGATTCTATTTTTAGGTAATATAGGTTAAAAATGTGACTGCTCTTTCGAGTATATGTGATCTCTAATGCTCACTGAGACATCATATTGAAGGTAGGTAACTTAGAAATGAGAAGAAGATATTACCACCAGGGAAAACTTACAAATTCTGGTACCTATCAATTCTCTCTTCCATGTTGGTGTAGAGGTAGAGTCTGGATAACATTCATTATTTTTGAGATCCAAATGTAACCCTATTAAATCACTTTTTGTAGCCTGAATATTTGAATTTAAAATTCAAATTGTATGCACAATTTCATTGTATGCACGTGACTAGATTCAGTCATCTATAAATACCAGTTCATCTGCCTAATTTTTTAAAAGTTACAGTGGAAAACTGTATAGTTTCATCAAGTGACTGAGTTAATCTAATGTATAGTGCTATTTTTTCTTTTCAGTTTAGAGATGAAATAGAGTTTATTTGGAGGTTTGCTCGCGCTTATGGAGACATGTATGAGCTATCTACGAATGCACAAGAAAAGAAACATTATGCTAATATTGGTAAGTATTTTATAAAGACTGATTATTCTCAAGTGACAATTGTTATCTATAATAACCCATCAATGAATTTTAATTAAAGCCAAATTATCTTAGCTAAAACCAATATATTTAATCTATTTTATATATCCTAGTACTGGAAAATACATGTAGTCTAAGGCCAGAAATTTTTTTCAGGACTAAGGTATATATTCTTTAAAAATATTTGAGTATACTAAAATAGACAGCTGAAAAACTCAAATTTCAGATACTAAGTTTATGACAGAAAGACAATTAGGTAATATTTGAGGAACAGTAAGAGGCAGAGGATAGGTATCTCCAGCACAATTAAAAAAACCTTCCTTGACTCCTATAAGGGAGAACTTCAGGTGCCACAAAGAAATAACTACTTAAACTTCAATGCCTTTTTTTCTTTTAAATGTTTTATTTATTTTTGAGACAGAGAGAGACAGAGCGTGAGCAGGGGAGGGGCAGAGAGAGAGGGAGACACAGAATCTAAAGCAGGCTCCAGGCTCCGAGCTGTCAGCACAGAGCCCTGCGCGGGCTCAAACTCAAAACCGCGAGATCATGACCTGAGCTGAGGTTGGTCGCTCAACCGACTGAGCCACTCAGGAGCCCCGTGTTTTGTTTTGTTTTTTCAAAATTTATCTCAATAAAACAAGATTAGTCTTGAGTTGATCATTGTTTAAGCTGACCGATCCAGTACATGATGGTTCATGATACTGTCCTCTACCATTTTATGCATATTTTTTGAAATTTTCCCTAATAACAACAGCGTGTAACAACATAGTAATAGCCAGAATGTCAAAGCTTTTATACATATCTATTTCTGTCACTTAATATCAAAACTCTTTCTTGCAAAAAGCCCATTAGCTGCCAATTCTCTGAGCTTCGGGGCAATAATCTGACATCAGACTTCTTCAATTTCTTCTTTCATTCTAAACTTTTCTCTTCTCTAAGCTTTCTTTCTTTAAGTTAGCATGAGGAAGAAACAACACAAAAATAATGATACTACACATCTCATTCCACGGTAGTTCCCTGTCTTTTTTATTTCCAAGAAGGAAATATTTCCAAACTCCTTGTAACTATATTCCTTCCACTTGTAGATTTCCTTGCCACATTATTCATCATCAGCTTTGTGGGGCAGTTTTTCTGTAGTGATCCATCTTGCAGGCCATACACAAAATCGAATTCTAGAGAAGAGGTTTGTTAACTCTAGGGTAAATAAAAATTTAACCAAAGAGAAAAAACTGATTTATTTTCATATCTCCTGAGAAAATCACAGTCTCGCTATGTAAACTGCTAAAGTAAGAAAGACTTTTTATTGCCTGTAAGCTCCTGCCCTACCCTGGGCATCAGGGGTCCTCCTGTGTGTGATAGGAGGTAGAAATGAGAGCAAAATCACATTTTCTCAGACTGTAGACAAGCTTATGGCTTTGGGGAGGGGGGAGCAGTATCATTGAAATAACCATATATTATAAAGAAACAAACAGAAATACGTTGTGAGTAGAGGAGAATGCAAGGTGTTAAAAGAGTAATCACAGAAAGGATATGATGGCAGCGGCTGGGGGTTGATGCAGGGAAGTCTTTACTGTGAAAGTAAGAGTTTCACTTAGGTGAAATCACTTGGAATCTCTATTTTTAAACGGCGTAGAAGTTTAATTGAGTTCATGGAAGAGGTGGTAAAAATGGAAAAAGAAATAGGCGGGAAGAAATCTGGGGACAAAAATGGAGATTGGAATAGGATGTATCTTAAAAAATGAGAAACCTTTATAGTGTCAAGACAAATGAGTAAAAGCCTACGATGTATTCTACTCATTCACGTATTGAAATATATTAAAAATAATTCTTTTTTTTTTCTATCCATTTAGGAAATATTTATTTGAAATTACTGTGTCCGGGAGTGATGTTAAAATGAGGGGTAGAGGGAGGGAGAGAAGGAAGAGAGGAGGGAGGTAAATGTGATTAAGTTGGTGCCATGCTAAGGAACTTGCTAGATAGATCAACATGGAGACAGCCCAATATACTTCAGTGTTCGGGTAGTGAGTGCTTAGGAAAGGTGATAACAGTGTGTGAGAGCTGAGACCAGCGTTGGGGGACACTGGAACTCAGTGTGCGGGAGGAGGAAGTGGTGACTCGTTTTCCCCATAATAGCATATTTAAAATTGTTACCCCAAGGCATGATTTGATCACTGGAGAGCACAGAATTCCTTCATAAAACTCAGGATGGGGTATAGCATTACACAGTGTGTCATATAAGTACTCTGATCATAATTTGTATTCCAAGTAAACTATGAATCTTTTTTTATTGTTTTTTATTTTTCAACGTTTATTTATTTTTGGGACAGAGAGAGACAGAGCATGAACGGGGGAGGGGCAGAGAGAGAGGGAGACACAGAATCGGAAACAGGCTCCAGGCTCTGAGCCATCAGCCCAGAGCCTGACGCGGGGCTCGAACTCACGGACTGTGAGATCGTGACCTGGCTGAAGTCGGACGCTTAACCGACTGCGCCACCCAGGCGCCCCAACTATGAATCTTATATCTAAAGGAACATTATTATAATTTCCAGAATTAAGTGATCGATCCATGTGCCTCAAATAGATCACAAAGTACCATTTTGTAAGTGGAACAGCTTTCCTTTCAGACTTCAGCTACATAAACGAGGCTGCAAAACCAGCCTGCGTATGACCGACCCAGCTTCCTTTTGTATTCTCAGGGTTATGGACTCTCCTCTATTTTAGGCTGGTGGTTGTACATCAAAAGCTATTTTTGTTCATTTGGCAAAGTAGCTACATGCTGATTTCATTTTTAACGTTTGTACATTTAAAGCTGTGTTTTTCAATTGTTTATTTAAAAATCACTCTTTGAATATAGGTCTACAATGTAATGTCAGTATTAAAACACTTCACTTTTTAATTTTTTCCACTTTAGGTAGATTTATACATGAGATATTTCCCTTAATGAATAGAGCTGTAAAATATAGAAGTGTCCCACCTTAACAAATTAACAGAATGGTTTTAGAATTAAGGATCCTTATTATAAAGATTACATCATCCACTTAACTTAGAAGAGCATTTTGCAGATCCCTGGATATTCTCTTCAAGGCAACAGCAACAACAAAATGGAGCAGGATAAAGGGAGATGGTATAAAACAAAGCAGCCCCTTTTAGAGAAGGATTTTCAGAATGTTGTCCAGTTTCATTGCGAGCATTTTAGTTTTTCAGGCCGCTAGACAAACCTCTATCCAAAGTAATTATGACATTACGAAAAGTTACTTCTAAAACTAAGTGGAATGATTTGGCAGGGTGATTTATGTGTCGAGCCTGTTCGTTTTTGTGCACGATTAGGTAAGCACTTCTCTGGGAAGCCTTCCCTTTGGATGGAATTCTCTCTACATCTCAACACTCTGTTCTCTAACATGCTCTCTCTGTTTTTCATCTCACTTTTGGTTTTTACACGCAATTTGTTTGCTTAATATACCTGCTTTCTACTGAAATGTGAACCCTTGGAAGTCAAAAACTGTGTCCTAATTTGACTTTTTATTCCCAGAGATTATGATACGACACTCAGAAGGCATACAGTAAATGTCGGTCAATTATAGAACGATTTTTATTAATGCTTTTAAATAATGATTGGATGACTTTTCTTGCACTTGGTTACATCGCCTTAGTCCAGTGAGCTTAAAACCTGAGCATTCATCAGAATCTCTACAGGCTAGTTAAAACAGATTGCTGAGCCCCAGACTTTGTTATAGGGTAAGTCTCTCTTTTAGCCAAAAATCTGCTTTTCTGTAAGTGATGCTTCTGGTCTTAGGAGCATATTTTAGGAACCACTGACTTAATTCAGTAATCTACCCCCCCCTCCTCCCCACCGACTCATGTGAAGGTACTAAATGCAAGTACATTTTTCTTTCAGGGAAGACATTGGGGGAAAAAGCTATTACTAGAGCGCCCATGAATGGGCATTGTCATCTGTGGTAAGTACATAGAACTTACACAGTCTTTTAGAATTCTCATATGCCTCTATATAAGTTACGATCGATTTTTAAGATATTATTGACCCTTTAACCTGTCAGTCACATTCACTGAAAAATATATTCAATAGATAGCAGAGTAACTATTCTTAGTCTCATGTATTTTACAATATGTATATTTTAAATTTTTTTTCAACGTTTTTTATTTATTTTTGGGACAGAGAGAGACAGAGCATGAACGGGGGAGGGGCAGAGAGAGAGGGAGACACAGAATCGGAAACAGGCTCCAGGCTCTGAGCCATCAGCCCAGAGCCCGACGCGGGGCTCGAACCCACGGACCGCGAGATCGTGACCTGGCTGAAGTCGGATGCTTAACCGACTGTGCCACCCAGGCGCCCCAATATGTATATTTTAAATATATTCAAGGCAAACTTTCATCGAAGATTTCATAAGTGAATCTACCAAGTGCAGCCCCTTCGAACATGATAAATTCTAATTAAGTGTGATTTAACATTTTATTTGAAAACAAATATTAAAGTGATATCATGCTTCTAAATGAAATGTGGAAAGAACGCTTCACAGGATAAAAGCATATCGCTCATTTTTTATACCTTAATGAGCTTGTGTATACTAATACTACAGGTCAAAGAGAAGTCGTGTATAATATAAGAAAGCTCAAACAAAGGGAATTTAATTCGTTGGATGGGTGTAGCTGACTACCCTTGGGGAAACAAATATATTCTTGAATATGTTTTATTTTGGATCCTTTGTTTGTTTAGAATTATAAAACACAAATAAGAAGACATATATTGTTTTTAATTAACACTTTCTAGTTGCATTTTTACAACATTTTTTAGTTCTTTGCGGCAATACAGGTAGTTCAGGTGCTAGAAAGATAACAGTAATAAATTAATTTATGACCCTTCTCTCAGACCTCGGTTTCCAGAAATCCACCCCTCTTCGGAATTATTTTATTCTCCTGGAACACTTTGAGGCAGAAATGGCTCCCTTTCTGCAGGTCTGCATTTGCCCCACAGGGCATTGGTTTCACTCCACCAACTCTCAAGTGCAAACCTGTTTATTTACTCTGCCACCAGCAGGGGGAGCTCCACTCACACTGTCCTCTTCAAGCCTCTGTGGTTAGGAGTCAAGGACATTTTCTATGTCCCTGGAGGGACACAGGCCAAAATAAAAATAGATCTTTTGACCTGCTCTCCCTTTGCCTAAGAGGAGGTGCAAGCTTGCCCCGGCCCCCTCCACAAGGGGAAAGCCACAGGACTGTGGAAGCCACAGTCCCCAGAACAGTTCTATCCATAGGAGCCCTCACTCCTCCACCTCCCGCCAGGAGAAAGGTACTTTTGCAGTTAGCGTCTTGGTACATATCTTTAGGGTCATTTTCCCAATGTATGAGGGTATTATTTCTATAACCAAATTTACCTTCTCATCTAATTTGCACATTAATATTAATAAATTAACATATGTATGCCTTAAAGTACTTCCTTTCTTCCACTTTTAGTGGTAACTATAATGAATTTGTACTGATCAAGCCACGCTCTCTTTATGTCCTCTGATATTGGGAGGGTTTGGAAGCTAATTGGCCAGATTTAGAGGCAGAAAAAGGACCCAAGCCCTCCTCTTAACTCTGATCTGCTTCTCCCCCCATAAGTTTGTCATAAATGACAAACTTTGGCCAGGCCAACCGCCTATTTTTATAAATAGTTTTACTGGCTCACAGCCCCGTCTGTGCATTTGTGCACAGCTGTGAAGTTCAGTAGTTGCAACCTTGACTCTCTGACCCGAAGCCTAAAATGTTTGCTACCTGGCCCTGCAGCACAACTTTGCACATCCATGACTGAAAGGACTATGTGATGGCTTATAAGCTTCAGTTTGAAATACAAGATGCAGTCTTCAGGAATAATTATCCGAAAGGATTCACATTGAGGGGATGGTTGAAAAACAAATAGCATCTTAAGACTTGTTTTCCATCTTCATTTCTTCCAGAAAGCTTCAAAACTTTAAGTCTTCATAAAGCTGTCCACAAAAATGTTATTTTTGTTGAACCAGCCCAAAATACTTCTAGGATCAAGAGAGTAAAGTCGCTGTGGCTTTGTAGTTTGTCAGCCCCGTAGGCTTGACCATAATTACAAATAATATCTTACATATTTGTTGTGCTCTACTGTTCACAAATTGTATCCACATGGCTTACAGCACGTGATTTACAGAACAACCTGTTTCCGTTTTAGGGGTTAGGGTGAGCAAGGTAGTGTATGGGGGAGGTGTGTGGGGGGGGGATAGGTTGTTAGTGAGCAAGGGTCACACAGTAAGTAGAAAAGCAAACACCAGATCTTTTATTCGTATACACTCGGTATTCTATTACATTATTCTTCCTCTGCTTTCTCACGGCATAAATAGCATTTGTGCTGAATCAGAAGTACCGCAGGGAGAGTAATGGAGTTATTTTAGTAGTTGTTGACACAGGAATGTTTGTCACTTATTAAAGATATATTCCGTATCAATGCCAAGACAATACAGAATTTTTGTCAAAGCACGTATGGTGAGAATGACCTCTAGATGGAGGTAAAAGACCATATTGCGAATTAACATTCTTCAGCGTTCCCATCAACATGAGATGGTTTGTGAGATAAGATTTCAAATTACATTTTTAAAGGTGAACAATATACAAGAACAACAACATACACGCGCGCGCGCGCACACACACACACACACACACACACACAGGTGGAACTGATTGCCAGAAAAGAAATGATGATCCTTTGGGAAAAAAGTGGTCAGGTGAACTTTGAATTTATGATATCCAGAAAGATAAATAATATTTTAGACTGTAAAGAAAAAAACTTCAAAACAGATTGGGAAATGCGTAAGACTGTAGGACAGATTATTATAAGGGAAATGTGCGTGTTTCATGCAATGGTATTCATAAGTCATAGTTTTTGTTTTTCCTTTTTCTCCTCGCGCAGAGTCAGTTGGAGAGAATGTGCTGAGACAGCACTATTAATGCCTCGAGGTGTGCATTACATCAACCTGATGCTGATGTTCAGAAAATAGATGATTGATCCTAGATCAGTGAACACAGATTCTTTTCTTTTGCTTCCAGTACAAATGTTTCGTTCTATAAATCTCTGGTTGAGAAAGTTCATATAGATCCAACAGATTTTTCTACAAATGTGACATGATTTGTTTTTTTAATTTTTCTGCCAGTGTAGAGAGTAGGGAAATTGAACTAGTATATGTGAATTTAAGCAAGGCAGTGAGGTCAGTTTACTTACCACATTCTTGTGGACAAGATATCGAAATGTGGGCAGGCCTCTGGGTTACCCATATTGAGAGAAGGGTTTAAGCCAGTTGTTCAACAGAGTAACTGTTGGCAACATCACTATCAACCTGGAGACGATTCCAGGATTCCACGTCTGTATCTTAGACACTAGTGTGTTCCATAATTTTGTCAGTGGATGAAGATAGAATAAGTATGTAATAAAAGTTGCAAGTAACACAAAATTATGAGGAACAGAGTGTATGATGGGTGACAAGAGTAATTCAAATGACTTTCACATTAAAAACAAAAGATTTGCAAAAATTACATATCAATCTTGTCTGACAGTATTAGTACAGTTGTGATAAATGTACTATAGTAACGTAAGATGTATACAGTAGAGAAAACTGAGTATCGGTAGATGGGAACTCTCTCTACCATCTTTGCAACTTTTCTATACATTTCAAGCCATTTTAAAATAAAAGCTTATTGGGGCACGTGGGTGGTTCAGTCGATTAAGTGTCAGACTTTTGGTTTAGGGTGTAATCTCACAGTTCGTGAGTTCGAGTCCCACATCAGGCTCTGTGCTGACAGCTCAGAACCTGGAGCCTGCTTTGGATTCCATGTCTCCCTCTCTCTCTACCCCTTGCCCTCTCTCTCTCTCTCTCTCTCTCTCTCAAAATGAAAGAAACATTAAAAATTTTTTTTAAATAAATAAAAGCTTATTTTTTTAAATAAAGTGACCTAAGGTTTTAAATACAAATAATGCCCACAACAGAAATGGGGGAATTTGGGGATGTAGCTGTGTGGAAATTTGCTCCACTTTCTGGAACTCCCTTGGAGGAATGATAAAGTAGAACAACAGAGAGAATTTCAGAAGAACATGGTCAGACCGGAGGTGACAGTAACGGTTTTCCAGGGGAACGCACGAGTCCAGTAATCATCTATTCCTACAAACTCAATCTCTGGTGGGTGGTGAGAGGTATGTGTCAGGCAATGTGATGGTAGAATTTGTGAATAGTAACATCTCCTAATCTGGTTAAGTTCTCAGGTCACTTTTGATAGGTTGATTTAGTCATCATTCTTGTTTCTACTGTTGCAGATTTGGTTGACTGTATAGAAACTGAAAATTAAGAGGTCAAAAAAGTCATAACTGACTTTTTTTATTGTTTGTCATAAGTTGTGCGAATTGTGGGGTTTTTGTGCTCAGGAATGGTCTCACTGTTCCAAATTAAGAAAATTGTTCACTTTTGGGATGAGCACTGGGTGTTGTATGGAAACCAATTTGACAATAAATTTCATATATAAATTAAAAAAAAAAACCAAACAAAAAACAAAAAAATAAAATAAAAAAAAAAAAGAAAATTGTTCACTTCATTTTTGTACTTGAAAGTTATGCTTATCCACAGAAATGGTCAAGATAAATACCCAAAGTGACATCTTTTATTTCAGTTATCATAATGCAAGTAACAATTAATACCTACTCTTGAAAGATTTAGGTAAATGAATATTTTGCACAGACAGAAACCCTCTGAATATGAAAAGTAATATATCCCCAGGTTTTGGAGTGAGCAAATTGCTAAACAAATATGGCACCCAACTTATTTCAAATAATTATTGATGTAACTTTTGTATTCCCAGTGGGAAAAAAAAGTAATTCATGGGATGCCATATTCTCGTATGCAGTGTTTCCAAGGAAGGATCGAAGGTCATGGGGAATTTTTTGGAAAAGCGTATTCATGGGGCGTCTAGGTGGCTCAGATGGTTGAGCGTCCAACTCTTGATTTTGGCTCAGGTCACGATCTCACGGTTTTTGTCATTGAGCCCCACGTCAGCCTCTGTGCTGATAGTGCAGAGCCTGCTTGGGATTCTGTCTCTCCTCCCTCTCTGCCCCTCCCCCTACTTTCACTCTCTTTCTCTCTCTCTCTCTCTTTCTCAAAATAAATAAACAAATTTTTAAAAAAATTTCAAGAAAAAGAAAAGTGGAGGTGCCTGGGTGGCTCAGTGGGTTGAGCATCTGACCCTTGATTTCAGCTCAGGTCATGATCTCCTGGTCTGTGAGTTCGAGCCCTGTGTTGGGGTTTATGCTGACAGTGCAGAGCCTGCTTGGGATTCTCTTTCTCCCTGTCTCTCTGCCCCTACACCCCCCCCCGCAAAAATACATAAATAAACTTTAAAAAAAAAAAGTGTATTTTGAAAATACCTTTGACTTTGTTTGTTTTAGTCATGATACTTATTTTTGTTTTCAAATGATATCAAGGGAGGCCGTGACATTTTTATTTTTAATTCTATTAAGGAAGAACAGGGATATGATGACACAATATATTTTTTCAATTTATCACTGTTATGACTAGACTTTTTCTGAGAGCCTCTTTGTGACTTTGATGCTGATGATGGTGATAGAAGCAGCTAATATTTCTTGAAACTCACTGTGTGCCACGTAGTATTCTAAGCAATTACACGTTTTAGGTACCTTGCCCTTGTGGCACACATATGAGGTAGACGGTGTGAGTATAGCCTCATGTTAATGTCAAGTATTTATTATTTTTAGGGCCCTTGTATCTGTCTGAATCCTTTCATCAAATATTAATGAACGCTTTAGAGATATTCTTAAAATGTTTATTTGGTATATTTGATTACAAAGTTGACGCACTGTCCACTGTTTTTATCCTTTTCAGGTATGCAGTCTTGTGTGGCTATGTGTCCGAGTTTGAGGGCTTACAAAATAAAATCAACTATGGACATCGCTTCAAGGTATTTCTTGATATTAAAGATATTTTAATGTAGCTGTGTGTTCCATTAAAAGGCATAAATCAAATTATTTAATAAATGGATCTCTCACGGTGTGTGGGTGGCTCAGTCACTTAAGCGTCCAACTCTTGATTTTGGCTCAGGTCATAATCTATTGGTCATGGAATTGAGCCCATGACAGGCTCCATGCTGGGTGTGGGGCCTGCTTCAGATTCTTTCTCTCCCTCTACCCCTCCCCTGCTCATGCTCTCTCTCTCTCTCTCTCTCTCTCTCTCTCCCCCTCTCGCTCTCACTGTCTCTCAAAAAAAAAGTTATAAAACCCAAACTAATCTCAATCTCAAGAAGTTTATCTTTTTAATTTTTATTTTATTTTTTCAGTGTTTATATATTTATTTTGAGAGAGAGAGAGAACATGTGCGAGAAGGGGAGAGGGGCAAAGCGAGAGGGAGAGAGAGAATCCCAAGCAGGCTCCACGCTGTCAGCAAAGAGTCCAAGGTAGGGCTCCAACACACGAACTGTGAGATCATGACCTGAGTCAAAATCAAGAGTCAGATGCTTAACTGCGTGAGCCACTCAGGTGTCCCTATCTTTTTTATCTAAATGAAGTGACAATCTTTAAACAGTACTGTGCCAAAAAAATGAAACCTATTTGAGTGATTGAAGATTATTATTCTAGATCTTGAAAGAACTTACATAGTAGATGAGTATTATTTTTTCAAAGACAGGATTAGTCTTTTGGTGATGAGTTCACCAACATCAGAAACATGATCTGGACTAATTAGTTAACATTACTTGCATATTGACTTGGTGGAAGGAATAGAATCCAATCTGGGACTTAAACTTACCATGATAAATGAATAAAATACTTGCATATTGATTTGGTGGGGGGAATAGAATCCAATCTAGGACTTCAACATACCGTGATAAATGAATAAAATAAGTAATATACGTGTAAATCATTTGTAATGTGCCTGTGGCTTTGATAGCTCAATAAATGAGCTAAGAAGTTTCTTTGTTTTCCAGCTCCCTATACCCATTTTAATAATGTCAGGGGAATAGCTTCCTCCACAACCCAGTTCTGCTATTCTGTCTTCCATTATATCCTAATCATTTGAAACTTGCAAGCATCCTGCTGAATCAGTATTAGCTAGGCAAGTCATGGGCAGACAAAAGCGTCACTTGGAGGTTTTCTACTTTTTATAGTGACGTTGGCTTTAAATTATGCATAGCTTAATGAAATCATCATCACAGTCAGGTTCTAGTTGTGAGCAATCATTTCTGATAATTGAATTATTGGTATGACTTCTTATGTTAACGGTAGGGATTAAGGAGGGGGACTAAACAACACCGTAAAGCCCCTTTGAATTTCGACACAGCTGCATTCAACACCACCTGAATCCTGAGAGATGGTATTTGTTTTGGACTTTTCTTTTAGGAGCATCTGGATAAAGCAATCCAGTTTTTACCCGAAGAACCTTTTTTGTATTACCTCAAAGGAAGATACTGTTATACTGTAAGCCGAATGTTTTTATCCATAATTCTTATCTCAATATACTTTGATTACGTGATATATTTTTAGTGACTTATTCTTTGTTTAGTTGTCTCACCAGGTGCCTGCTGTAGGGAAAATGATAAAATCAGTACGTGTTTTATGAGTTTATGATTGATTGGTTTATATACCATGTTACAAATGGCGTATGGTTTTATATGTATACATAGATGTCTGTGCTTTTCCACTTAGCACCTCTCCATTTCCCCTCACAACAATCACACCGTCTCCTTTGTGCTCTCTCAATTGGCGATCAGCCACCTACCTGCGTGTGCCCTGTGTTGGTGTCCTACTCTTTGTTTCATGAGAGGACTTTGTCACTTAACAGAGTGTCTTGAGCATTTATGTGCCTACTGTTCTTGCCTTGAAAGACCTGAATTTAGAAAAGGACATGAAATATATAGGAATAAATAAAGGCAGCTGGCGAGTCTAAGCCCCGGTGTGTTAAGTGACATTAGTTTATAGAAAATTAACATAATGTGAAAATATGTCTTCAGGGATGCATGAAAAAATTATGCTTAAGAGAAATGCTATTTCTGAATGAGAAGATTAGCATAAGCAAAAGAGGAAGCTTGTTAGTTGAGGTTTGAAGATTAGGAATGGAAAAGGAGGCTTTTTTGTTGAACACCTGCTATGTATCAAATGTGCAGTTTATACTTTATATTTCTTATCTCCTTTAATCCTTAAAACAGCCCTGTAAGCAGTTTTTATTACGCCAGTTTTTGGTATTAAGAATCTGAGTCTTCATGAAGGTACAAGATTCCAAAGGCTTAAAACCCACCAACCCGACCTCACACGAGTCTGGGGCTTGAATGTACATTATTTGTTTAGGCTTAAAAAACCCAAGAAGGAGGGGCGCCCGGGTGGCTCAGGTCATGATCTCACGGTCTGTGGGTTTGAGCCCCGCGTCGAACGGGTGACGGCTCAGAGCCTGGAGCCTGCTCTGGATTCTGTGTCTCCTTCTTTCTCTGCCCCTCCTCTGCTCACGCTCTGTCTCTCCCTGTCTCTCAAAAATAAATGACTGTTAAAAACAAACACCAGCCTGCAGCCTACCAGTGCGGAGCCCCCGCCACCCTCAGGGCCCTGGAGGTGCTGGTTGCGTGGTGGCCCTCTGGAAGACCCGACCCACGCTGTGCCCCGGGATGGCTCTGCAGCCGCCAGGTGAGGCCGGATCCAAGGGCAACATGTGCTACCCCCTAGGGCGGCCCAGGATGCCACCAACACCTGGACGCCTCCTGCACACCTTTCCCGGCCTGTGGCCGCTATGGGAACATACTAACCGCTGCGGAGGAAGATGTCCAACTTTTCCGCAGCTGGAGGCCGCCGTGCCTGCATCCCACGCTATGCCCCCCCTTTGCCTTCCAGTGCGGTCCACGCCTCCCTTGCTGAGCTCCAACCTGGCCCTGTGGAGGGAGTGGCTCTACGATCCGCCCTGGTACAGCCAGCCGCCAGCGCGGTACCCAGTTCCCCAGCTCCCCAGAGAGGTGCCCCACTTCCTCAACAGCAGCCACGAGTATACAGGCGCCATCAGTGAAGGCTTGGGCCATACTGGTGGCCGACGTGACAGTGGCCAATGCCGTGGACCTGAAATTTTCATGCCCCGCTGGCTGCGAACGCTTCCCGGTGACCTGAGGGGGTGGAGGCCTCCCAGTTATTATCTTGCTCCCCCAGCAAGCAGTCTGAGGAGGGCTCCAAACTCCTGAACCAGCAAGGGAAGTCGTCTCTCCGGGTTCCTGGTCCCCACAGACAGCTCTGGATCTGCTTCCCTTTGTCGAACTCTGGGTAAAGACTCCTTCAACTACCAGAAGGTCTCTGCCTCAAGCAGACGATGTTTGGTGAAGTGTGGCATTTTTGGTGCATTCTGCAGTAGCCTTGTTGCCAAAGGAGTCAGGTTTGGACCTTTTCAAGGTAAAGTGGTCAATGCCAGTGAAGTCAAGACCTATGGAGACAATTTCTCTGGTGTGCGACACTGTCAAAGATGGTCATTTGAGCCACTTTATAGATGGAAAAGGAGGTGCAGGGAACTGGATGTCCTCTGTCAACTGTGCCTGTTTCCCCAAGGAGCAGAGCCTGGTTGCAATGTCGAAGGCAGATACCTTACGAGAGCTGCTAGAACCAAGAGCTCCTTGTGTGGTATGGAGACTGCTATGGAAAGTTTTAGACATTCCCGTGAGCCTTTCGCTCACAGAACAGAGGAAGCAGGTGCCTGGGCCCTCTGAAGAGTCTGCAGAAGGCTACAGGTGTGAAAGATGTGGAAAAGTATTTACCTACAAATATTAACAGAGATAAGCACCTCAAGCACACCCCTTGTGTGGACAAGGGTGATAGGAAATTTCCCTGCTCTGTCTGCAAACGATCCTTTGAGAAGTGGCACCAGCTCCGGATCCCTGTCCTGCACGTTCACGAGAAGCACCAGCCTCACAAGTGTTCAACGTGTGGCAAATGCTTCTCTCAGTCTTCCAGCTTAAACAAACACACGAGAATCCACTCTGGAGACAGACCATCCCAGTGTGTGTATTGCACAAAGAGGTTCACTGCCTCTAACATCCTCTGCACATATATCAGGCAACACTCGGGAAAAGCCCTTCAAATGCAAGCATTCTGGTAAATCTTTCACATCCCTCGCTGCCCATGACAGCCACGTCCGTCACTCACACAAGGAGGATGATGGCTGCTTGGGCAGCATCTGTAGAAAATCCTTCCCGGATCAAGAAGCCTTCTACTCCCACACGAAGCTTCATGAAGGCTACTAGCCCTCAGAGAGTATGGGGACAATGTAAAAACTAAAAGCTAGGATTCTGTCTTTGTTTTCCTTGCTTATGGGTGTGTCGTACGGACAGATGATAGTTATACTAAGATGAGAAACAGAAAAATGGAACCGGCCAAAAAGCTGAGTTTAACTGATTTCACCAGCTTTCACAGAAATATTATTCACAATTAAAAAAAATTAATGTTTGTTTATTTTTGACAGAGAGAGACAGAGCATGTAGCAGGAGAGGGGCAGAGAGAGGGAGACACAGAATCCAAAGCAGGCTCTAGGCTCCGAGCTGTCAGCACAGAGCCCGATGTGGGGCTCAAACTCACAGACCGCGAGATCATGACCTGAGCCAAAGTCGGATGCTCAACCGACGGAGCCAACCAGGCGCCCCATTATTACTCACAATTTTTAACAAGAACGGAATTTTGGTGAATTTACCTAAAAGTAGTGAAAGCTGGCTCTTAATAGAGCTTAAGGGTCTGGAAACTCAACACAAACCCTGAGAGAAGGACACTAGGAGTAGAGTTTGATTTTTGTGGTGAAAAAGACCTTTTCTCTGTTTTGGACCCCAATTGTTATGCCTGTGGCCATCACCTGGTCTCTTTTTCATAGAATAAATTCTTTAAAAGTTCCAAAAAATAAAAATAAAAATAAAAACAAACAAGCAAACAAAAACCCAAGAAGGAAATTCTGATTTAAAGTGGATCCTGATCTTCATGGCATAAACAAACGGCAGAAGCTAATGTTGATCTTCCCTGGAAGAATATACATGCACATAGGTCTTATAAAACTGCAGAGTAGCCCAAGGATGATGAGGTCACAGTCAAAAATAATAGAATATACAAAGAAATAAGGCATCAAGTATGACAGTCAACAGAAACCAAAATCAGGAATAGATCTAAAAGGACTTCAGATTTTGGAACCGTGGAATATACAATGTTAAATAGCTACTTATACAGTGTGGGTTTTTTTTTTTTTTTTCAAATAAAAGGAATCGGGGAGGGGGGAATGGATGAGGAGCATGAGACTACAAAACTGACCAGGTAGATTAGAAAAAAGATAAGATAAATTTTGGTATAAAAGTCTATTATTTCACATTAAAAGAAAACTCAGTGGAAAGATTTAGCAGTTGATAGGCACCACTAAAGAGAAAATTAGTGAACTTTAAGGTAAATCTGAAAAAGTTGCCTGGAGTGCACACAGAGGAACAAAGAGATAGAAAATATGAAGGAAAGATAAAAAGACACAGAAGGGAAGAAAGGATATTGCACAGTGCTAAATTTTCATGTGCTCTTGGTAATTAATAAAACAAGAAGTCAAAAAAACATATTAAGTATGTAAAACATTGGAGCTTCCCATTTAATAACCTTGATCTAATACACATATAAAAATAATGTACCATTGGAGGGTACACATTTTTCCAGCATATGTAGAGTGTTGACAACATTGATCAATATGAGGTCATGAAGCAAGTCTTAATAAATTGCAAAGAATTGATATCAAACAGGTTTCCTGATCATAATGCAATTAAATTCAAATTTTGAAATAAAACAACTTAAGAAACATAAGTCTTGAAATAAGAAATTATAATTAAAAAACAACAAGGAGATGCCATTTATTCTTACTCATTTGATAAAATTTATAAATATCAGTGTAAGATGTTGCAAAGATATGGAGCAACAGGAACTTTTGCATTGTTGTAGGAGCATGCTGCTTTGGAAATAATCGGATACTATCTTTTAAATCTGATTACTTGCCTACCATATGACCCACAGTGGTGCCTACGCTAGAGAAAGTCTTGCAAATGTACTCTGGAAGGCATGTACAAGAATGCCTGCAGCAGCCTTGCTCCTAAGAGCAAGAAAATGAAAAAGATCCAAATGTCCATTTGCAAAAGAGTGGATGAAAAATCACTGACATATGTTTAAATGATGGAATGTTTCACAGCTATTTAAATGACAGAACTTCAGTCACACTCAGCAACCTGGATAAAATCTTAAAACTATAATAAGTGAAAAAATAAGTCATAGAAAGAAATAAACAACATGGGATCGTTTTTTTAAAGTAAAAAAAAAAAGCAAAAATAAACAGAGCAATAAGTAACACTATGTAGGAAAGCAAGGGAATAATTTTGTTTAATAGAGGTTAATGGCTACTAGAAACCTAGAAGATGATACTGGGAAGGAAGGCACTTGATGGGGTTGAG